AATCAGAAACTTTGGCCAAAAACTTTGCCTTAGGGGGTATCGTTAAGTTCTGAAACCTCTGAAACGCGTGCACATACTGACCGAAGAAGAAGCCGAGAGTGCTGATGAGGTACTTGTTGCAGATGACGATGGCCACCGACGAGGTGACCGAGAGGCCCAGCGCGCCAGCGACGCCCGTCCGGGAGCCCGCGCCGTCCGACATCTCCTCCCAGCCGACGGCCCGTGACTTCCCTCCTGCTGGTGCAGACGAAGCCATGAATGAACAAGAACAACGATTGCTGTGGGCGAATCCCTAGACGTGCAGGCTGTGAATCTCGATGTCTCTTTTCTCGTTAGGAATCAGGATACTGGATACACACGCCCGCCCGCACGTGATGAGCTCGCTCCATAGCGTTGACATTGCCGCGTCAGACGGACCGGCAGCAAATCCCGAGGCAAGGGAGTGGAAAAAGTACTGTGTTCACGTGGCATGATCTGCACTTGTGTCAGTGTGGATCAAAAAGAAAACATTTGATTTGAACCGATGTTTAGTCGTGTGCATCCCATTCCCACAGCGAGACTGTTAGTGCATTGCTGCAAGAATCCATCGGCCATGAACTTGCATTTGGTGGCCTGAAGTCTGAACACATGTGTGAGTGCTACGTACTACCGTCCAACAAAAAGCAGAGTGACCTGGGCCAAATCATTGATTTGGTGCTTAGTGGCAAGGATACAATTGGAAGAAAGCAGGTAGCCACCTGGAGTGTCTTTGTGACAATTTGAGACCATTCTGTATGTCTATTTTCATTAGGTGGTTAGTCACCAGCACACCTGTCAGTATTGCAGTGTGGCAGTGGCACACACCATTACAACTAGGAAGAAAGATGGCGATGTATAATACGTCCGATTAGGCAGAAAAAAAAACTACGGTCACTCAGTCACCAATGTAAATCGCTGGCACAAGGCGACATGGTAAAAAGATGAATATGTTCTGGAAACTTGGAAATTAGCAGTACTGGAGTACTACAATCCATTGATTAGTCGGTGCTGGAAAGCATTTCTCGAAGATCTCGGGATGATAATTAAGGCACGTACTCCCTCTGTCCTAATTAACTGTCGTTCTTGATTTCCATGCTAAAAATTTAACTCGATTTATAAAAAATACGTGTACCAATTATATCTCCAAATAAATATATTAAAAAACTATATTAAAATATTTATCTAATAATATTAATTATGTACCATAAATATAAATATAAATATTTTTATATATATATATATTCGTCGAAAAAAAACGAGCACATATTTAGACCCTACCAAGAAGCGGCAGGTCAACGGGAGCCCGGCATGGAAACCGGCGGGATCCGGTGTGGATGCGTAGAGCTTCGGTGCTGCGACCGGCTACTGCGTGCGTGCACGAGGTGGAGCCCGCGGTCGATGTGCACGGTGTCAGAGAAACTTCCATCTGCCCCAGATCCCTGTGCAGTGTACTCCAGCGCAGCGGCAGTGATCCTAGGGCCTAGGCCTTGGCCATTTCAGGGCGAGAACAGAGACTGCCGGACAGAACATGAGGCACGGCAGCAGTACCATTTGCAGACTCTGGACCATTTCCGCGAAATTCACGCGTTGAATCAACGGATGAACAGAGAGTGCTGTTCACAAGGAACGCAGAGAGCTGTTCTCTCCATCACCGACGGCGACGTCTGCCCGGAATTAGGCGCCGCCCCCGCCACGCACGCGATGAGCGAGGCGAGGATGGCGCAGGGGCGAACAAGGGGCTCCTCAGGCCAGTGCAGCGCTGCCACGTCGAACTAGACACTAGGCAGGCCCTGTGCTGATCCTGATCCCCTTCGTTGGTTTGACTACCAGCTTGGCAACAGTGACGAGGCACGCTTATGTGAGCAGAATACCCCGGTTGTTTTAGCTGCACACCCATTGCCTATCTATCCAGAAAGTTTGCTACTGTTATTATTGATTTGCAGTGCATAACTAATGACGACCACGCACCCTCCTTGTCTGTCTAAGTTGGTTTAACCAAGATTATTCTGTAACTAATACCAGTACCAACTTGACCTACTTCATAGTAGTTCATACGGATTATGGAGGAACACACACGTTATGCATTTTGGCCACCAACCTCCGGGTTGTTAACTCTATACACCACTTGCTCTGCAATATGCAGATGCACCCAGATAATGCCCAAAGCCATACGCACGCTCCGGTAGTAGCATGACGCACAAAAATGCACATGCACCTTCTCATAAATATTTGTCTCTATGTAAATAAATGGCAATGTATTCTTGAAACGAGCGGAGCTTGTGCGCGTCGATCATCAAAACAAGCGCCAGTAACTGAAGGCATCATCGGACGGTAGCGGCCACAGGCCATGTCCAATCCGAGATAGGGTCAAGGAGGTGGAACGAGGCGACCAAGATGTTCCGAAATTTCTAGGTAGACAACTCGAACACATGACATGTCCCCCCATCAACAGAATCCAGATACCGCGAGAGGAGGAACAGAATCCTGGTTCTCAACGAGCGATTCAATCAACCAAAATAAACAAACGGGCATGTATCGTATCGACGAATGATGATGATTGGGACGAGCACACAGAAGTAAACCAGCAAGCGATCCGGAAGAGGGGAAAAAAAACATGGGGGAACGGAGAGGAGGGGGATGGCATCGTACGCACCTCTTGCGCCTCCGGTCGGGAGGATCCTTTATTTATCTATCTAATATATGCGCGGTTCTTCCAGGCCGGCGACTCCTCGTTGGATCGGATCTTCGGGCGAGGAAGGAGAGCGGGAGAGAGACAGAGAGGCGAGCCGTTCCTCGTCTCGCTCCGAGGAGGGGGCCGCGGGTTTTGGCAATTGATGGCCCCGCCCGTGTGTTTTGTGAATTGGATTGGAGGAGGGAGGAGCCGAGGAGGGGAGGTGGTGGAGGAGATGCGTGAGGCGGAGGAAGTCTCTTCCGGAGAATGGAGGGAGGGAGGGTTGGTGGCGAACAGCTCAAACGCCCGCCGTCGGTCGCATGATCGCGTCGCGCCGCATCACCTTCACCTTCTCCTCGCCTCCGCGCCTGGTCTCGCCGTGTCGAGGTGTGGTGTCCCACCCACGAGGCCACGATTTCATTCGATCCTAGGCTAACTACTAGCATAATAATAGTAGTCATATATTCGCTCGATCGTTTACATGGCTTATAAATCGGCTGATGTTGTTTTATCGTCGTGAAAAAATACTATATCATTATTGATAGGCCTGACTAATACGATCAAATTAACGAGACATCACACAGAACCCGACAAAACAGAGCCCCGGAACAGGTACTTTTTTTTTTTTTCCTTTTGGGTATATATAAACGTACAGGTATCGTGCCACTTCGACTGGCTCACCCCAACTGCTGTTTGGTTAGAAGCCGGCGTACGCTGCTATCCAACCTTGCACTCTGCAGCCCACCAAGACACCAATTGCATCCTGACAAGCGCCATGCACGACCACGACGGGTTCCGTTCCGGCGATCACGTCAGATGAAAAAGGAGTAGACTACTGCTGGAATCTGTACAAGTCTTCTGTTCGTACTTCGTAACATCGATCGATGGATGAAATTTTCATGAAAACGACTGATACTGAATTTTTCTGAACCGCAAAACTGGAACATAAACACGATTGGTGATCCAAAGCGGAGACAGTAGACACAACCAACTATCAGAGCAAGTATAAGCTAATTAATATTTTTGCTGATGTGAAAGATAGAAGGAAGGAGAGAGAAGAGAGCTTAATTCTTATGCAGGCACCAAGCTAGACACGGAATCATATACAATAGTGGGTCCTAATAAAGATGTATGTGAAAAGAAATAGAAAAGAGAATGAAGACATCTAATAATAAAGAAATTTTATAGACAAATAGAATGCTAACTATTGTATAACTTGGTTTCATAACTTGACTTATAGTCTAAGCACTTGCTCTATTATTGGCCTTCGTCCTGTTCGTTTGGGCTGGTTTGGCTTATAAGCCATGACTGAAAGTACTGTTGACTAGTTTGGTGTGAAAGAAAAATACTGTTCGTTGACTGATAAGTCATGGCTTATAAGCCAGATACGAGCAAACGAACAGACTGATTGCTCTCAGGCTTCTCAAAACTCACCCAACCTCTGGAATCTGAGCGATCAAAGAGCGCGAAGCCCTTGATCGCTGAGAGGGAGGCAGTGGCCCGCGAGCGCCCCCTGAGGAATGACAAGCCTAGGCTAGAACATACATGTAAGAAAAATGATTTTGGACCTGCTGCCAAATCTCGTAGAATCAAATGTAACAGCGCAAGTTGCAAGCAAATATTCGTCTACAAGAAGTTGCAAGCAAATACGTTATTCATCAGCTGGATATTGGGACCAGGACCAAACACTTTGGAATCATGCAGAATTCTTCGCCTGATTGACGGGCTGAATATCATTAGTTGTTCATAAACGACAAAATGCCCGTTTGGCAGCCTAACAGCAAAGGTCAAGCATAGACCGATGCAAATTTGTATGCAGTATGCTCGAACCTAACCTACAACGTCTGTCAATGCTAAACGACAGAAATGTTTACAACACGCAAGCCGAACCTACACGCCTCCAATGTCTCCATCCAGAGACACCCTCAATCAAAAATTCAAAAGTAAACAATACGGAACTTTGTTCGTTTCACAGCAATGCAGATACAACAACAACAAGTATATTGTTGTTGTTGTATCTGCATTGCTGTGAAACGACAGCAATGCAGATGGCACCAAGAATAACACAGTACAAGAATATGGTTTCGTACAATCATCATATAACAAAATAACAAAGTTGTAGGTGCCACCGGGCCACAATCCAGCGAGACCTTACAGATCAGTCTTATACAGGTAGGTTTGCAGTCGCTGAACACAAAGCTTATTGGTTCCACATTGCATACTACTGATACAACAGCAGCGACTGTTGTCGGTATGTACAGTTCTCTTATGAGGGGAAAAAGAATATCAGAAGCAGTTAAGGGGCGGGATTTCAATTAGGAGGCTCATCTTGTTTGTTCTTTTGGTACACTGTTTCTAGGCACTCCTTGGCCCGGTGAACCTTCGATTGGAGGTAAAAGCTCCCAGATTTGGCGTTTCTTTCAAACAAGTTATCGTATCGCTGCATAACACATAGTTGTTCACATTGATGTGAGAAGTGTGCGTCCGAATAATAACAAGTCGAATGCGAAATGAAACAAAAGGGAAGTAGCAGACCTGTACAATCTCTTCCCACGTTGAATTCTCCGAGACACCCAGTATCTGCCTCGCTTCTTGTTCGGTCATTGTTTTGCTCGCTCTACGAATATTGTTTATTGCCTCATGGGCCACACCAGTTTTATTTGCATCTGGCAGAGATAGGAGGTAACAAAATAAGGAGGTGCATATAGCAATTAAATGTCACTCTTTCCTGGAAAATTAAACGAATAGCAAAAATATCATTCAGAAGGTACTATCTGTCTATTGTTGACTCGCAGTGACTGGAAAGCAATCAAAGCATCAGTGCGATACTAAGATGACAATGAAAGGCACTTCATACCTCATGTTAAGTTTTCATCTACAAGATGTACGTGAAATGTTGCAAATTCTGTGGTCCACTCGATGATTAGCAGATTGGTAATATTTAGCAAATAATGTGTAGGAAGCAGCAACCATAAAACAGTTTGCCTGTTTGAACCAAAAGATAGTTTTACACCCGACCCCCCCTCTCACGACATGAAGCACACGGTATTTCGTTCACCAAAAGCTAATGAACTAAATCATTTAATAAAGCAGATGAAGTCCTGATCATACTAATCAGGACAACAACGGGGTTGAATGCAGCGACCCTCGACCAGGGCCGGTTCTATGTTTTCAAAGGCCCTAGGGCGAACTTGACAATGGGCCCTCATGGCTACATATATGTTTAATTATATATATGTGGGGTCATTTTCGACCCTGCCTTGTAAACCTCTCACAGTCACAAGTAGCATACCACGTTCCTCCACCAGGGAACATTGCAAGTTTGCAACTATGGTCCTTATATATTGTATCTTCCATATATTCTTTTTTCTAGAAACCACCTCGTTTACTGAATAAATTGTCTGCACATTTCTAAGCCAATGAACTGACATTTGTCCAGAGAGGAGAGAGCATTCAATAGACAACAAAGAAATGCAGAATTTCCTAAATTCAGTTTCCCAATTCTTTATGTACACAAACAAAACCTGGAGGAATCAAAGGATTATTTTTAAGCAGTACATACTAAAATTTTATAGCATTTCAATTGACTCATTCTGGTGATTTCTTTAAGTCGAGGAAACAAAGCTCTCATGAAATTCTTTTTTGTCATCATAAATCAGAATGCAGAGGACATGGTGTACTTCATTCTAGGGATTTCTTTAAGTCGAGGAAACAAAGCTCTCATGAAATTCATTTTTTCTTTGGATAGATATACTTCAATTTGATCCAATGTAAGTGAAAGCAATACATAAGTTCGATATCAAGGCAAGCCTCATTGTATCCATATATCTGGCGTACCAGGCATAACCCAACTCTGAGCATAAGTGTTGGCAGTTCAAGTATGTCTGACAGGCTTATGTTACTGGAGGCTACATGCTGAAGCATAAACATACTTGGCATATCAGTAGAAAAAATTTGGCAACTAACAGACTAAGCTACCGAAAACTTATCAGGGCCAGAGATCTATTGGTAAACAAAACAATGATTAAAAAATGGCTCCAAGCTAAGAGAAATAGAGAGACCTATCCATTCTGGATTGTGCCAAGATGATTAGATGAGAACCCAAAAGGTCCAGTAAGTTATGACAATAACTTTGTCTATCATTCATTGTTATGGAACCGATCCATCATGCCACATGTAGTAAAAACAGTGTCGGATACCACAAGAAGGGGTACCCTAAGCAAGAACTGAAAATATTGCTTAAGCCTTGCAAAAATCAAAGCCGAAGGACGACCACGAGGTCTCGGCAGATTCTCCGACTCCCCCAAGGCTTGCGCCGAAGCCTCAGACGAAAGGCCAAAGCCCTCCGTCTCACCGAGGCCCCCTCGCCGAGGCCCCGCCCCGCAAGGCCTCGGCTGGGATACCAATTCTCCGTTTCGCCCGAGGCTGGGCTCGGCAAACAACCTCGTCACCTCCGTCCCGACCGACACCCCTGACAAAACGTCACGTCCAGTTAATGCGCCCCACTACTCCCGCAAGCGTCACCACCGACGTTAGCATCAGACAGCAGAATGACCGACGGACGGGGGACCGAATATCGCCTGTCTTTGCCTAACTCCTGCGCCAAGGACAAAGTGGCGTGGAGGGTCAAGTCCGGTCCCAGAGTCTCGGAATCAGCATGAAAGACCAACCGTTCGTCCTCCGCCTCGTCAAGACCCCGGCAGGCCCCCGACGTGTTTTTTCCTCTCCGCCTCATCCGAGACCTCCCGGCGGGCTCTCGGACGTATTATTCCTTCTCCGCCTCGGCCGAGGCGGGCCGTCCCGCATCCTCGCCGCCTCGCCTCAACCGTCCCTCTCGGCAAGCCGTCACATCCGTTTAAGTGCGCCTGTCGCACCTACTACGACAGCCCACGATTGACAGGTACAAAGAATGAGGCGATGGGGACGCCGGGTCAAATCTCCTTTTACCATCCCCATCGACCATCTCCGCATTTCTCCGCTTTGAACTGGTGCGACGCGGACCACCGAGACCCCGCATCATACACACGGGGTCACCTCCGAGGCCTCGGCAAAGGCCTCGGCACGATCACCATCTGACTCCGCCAGCCCCTCGGCACTCCACCAAGTCAAGAACACACAAGGCACGGCATGCCTCCTACAGTGGAAGCCATACTGACTAGATGTCAATAAGGACCCCCACGACCTCAACAACCTCGGGCCTGGCCAGCATGGCGCGCCAGTGATCAAGTACCAATTGCCATTCCCCAAGACTTTGTCTTTGCTCAGGGGATAGGGTACTAGATCTTCCTTCTAAGGCTCCACGATAACTCTCTCATGTATTACCGGCTCCTCCTCCTTACGACTATAAAGGGGCAGCCAGGCCATTTCTAGGGGAGAAGAAGAACACACGATAGCACACACACACACGCATCCCAATCGCTTTGAGAGCAACGCCTCAAGCCACCCACACGACACCTCGCCGAGACACAGGATTAGCTCCTCTCTCATTGTGCTTGTAACCCCCTACTACTAGCACTTCGGTGCAAGGAATACAAGATCAATCTCTCGATCCGGGACGTAGGGCATCGATTGCTCTCGACCAAAGATAAACGTTTGTGTCTCTTTGCATCACCATCCGGGATTAGGGGCACGCAGCTTCACATTTATCGTTGGTTGAGGACCCCCGGTCCAAAACACCGGCAGGCTAAGCGGCGCCGCCGTAGGGATCTCTGTGTGGGGTTCGTCATCCCAACAAGTTCCGGATGGCGGACCCGTCGGCCGCTATTCACGTCTTAGCACGGTGATCTCGTTCGGGGCCTAGAGTTTATGTCTCGGGGCATGAGTACGACATGGTACTCCTCACGCCCGAACCCCACCAACCGACGGCGACGCCACGCACCGGCAGCCCAGCGTGCGGCGGCGCCCGGCGGCGCGCTTCTCGCCGTGGTTTCGCCAGTACACGACACGAGCAAGACCACCCCAATGCTACTCGAATCCAGATTTGCACGCGCCGCTCCCCGCCGACATCCTACGACCAACATGTGGCACAGCTCCCCGGGCCGAGACCTGTCTAGCCTAAGCTTGATGAAGAAAAAACGCCGGCACACATGGCGACGCCAACACCAAGCTCCGCCCACCACTCCTCGAAGAGCCGGTTTGGTGAGAGCAAAGTTCGGCGACGGCACCATCCTCATACCCCTTTGGGTTGAGAAATGCCGCCACCTCTTATGCTTACGCTTACGCCGCCGCTCACAAGGATCCCCCGGAACGCCGCCAGCGCTTCACTCTCGACCTGGGCACCCACGCCGACTCCTCGGAGGAGGACGAGGCATGGCCCGGAGTGGATTTCTCTGGACTCCACGACCCCGGGGCTATCGCCGCTTCTGCCGCAGCGCGACATCGCTTTGGCTATCTCCGACCCGAAACGAGGGCACGTCACGACCCGCCATGCGAGTGTTTCCACGTCGGGCTCGGGATGCCGAGGGCGGGCGAGGAAGACGAGGGGCGGTAGCCGCCCCGCTTCGCCCGTGCATAGCGCCGCCACACCTCCGCGCATTCTCTCCTACCGGCAGAAGACGGAACGAGAGCCCCGCTCTTGCGCGACCTCAACGCCCGACTGAACAGCTCCGTGAGCTCCGTGCCAAGTTCGAACAGACCGACTCCTTCTACAAAGCAGCTTGAGACTCTCTCGAGCAGGGAGCAATGAGGTCGCGGCGAAAGCGGAGGAGCCCGGCGAAGGGCCCGCGATGTACATCATCGCATCCACGACGACGACGAAGGGAGCGAGCAACCCCCAGTCTTCAATCGCGCCAGCCAGAACGTCACGGCCGCGGCAATGCTGGTCCGCGTGATGCCCGAGCCTTCTACCACGGAGGGGCGGCGGGTCCACGGCGAGCTCCGAGCTCCTAGAGACCGCCAGCGTTTCGAAAGCCGAGAGTTCCGCCTCTCGACGGCAGCGGGGCGTCTCGAACTCGCCCAGCACACGCCGCCAAGAAGGGAAGCCTCGGCTCGTCCCGAGCCCGCCGAGCACCGATAACCCACAGGGGCCCCAGTGCTTCGGACCACCTCGGAACCGACGCGAGGTGCGGGGATACCATGAGGTGGTCAAGAAGCGACGACACCACGACAAATGAGGGCACGCTTCGGTGCTACCACCCACACCGAGGCGGCTTATGACAGCTGGGGAAGACCGTAGTCCTTCCCCTCGAACCGCCAGTTCCCTCGGGTCTTCAAGCAGGCCATCCATACTACGCTCTTTTCCTCGCCCGATTTCGCAAACCACCCAATCTCGCTGGCATACCAAGCGAGACCAACCCCGAACTCGGGCTTGCCGACATCACTGGCTCGCCGCTAGTTTAGGTGGTGCGGATGATGACCGCTCATCATCCGCAAACTCCCCTGCTCTTGACAGACTCGTCATGAGCTGCTCGAGCACCTCCCTCCTCGCGCAAATCCACGATCGGCGCGACTTGGTTAGGATCTTCGTCGGAACTTTCGTGGCACATACGCGCGCCAGGAACTCCCCGATCTTAAGAGTCGCTGCCAGAGCCGGACGAGTCTCTCCGAGACTTCATCCGGCGCTTCTCCAAGCAAAGGCACCGAGTTGCCCAGCGTCGGCGACTCGA